TCCAAGGGATATAATTTGATACATCCTCAGAAGGTTTTTGTTGAACATAAGTTCATAGTAATTATTGTAAATTTTTTTGTAGTTTGAATCTATAAAATGAAGAATTGAAATCAAATTACTCGTAATTCTGTATTTTTGTGTATATTTTAATATTTTAAATTCACTACAATAATAAATTAATATAACAATTTAACCTATTTTTTTTTAAAATTTTAAGCAAATTTGCATCGAATTTATTTTCATAGGAAACTTTCATCAGAATTAGGGAATATAAAAATGAAAATATCCATATGCATTTACCAACGGAAATAGAAATGAAATAAATCTATCGGTAGTTCCTTCGAACTAAGGTGTCGCTACACTTGACACTAATAACATCCATCCATCTGTTGGTGGTTTCGACAGACATGTATTTGAAGGCAAATCTGTCGGTAATCACCGACGGTTATGTTTCCATCGGAAAAATTTACCGACGCGACTGTCAGTGATGGTTTGTGTCAATGGGAAATTTTCATCGGTAATCAAGTTTACCGACGGGAATATTGGTCTTCAGACATGAGCCAACTTTTAAATATTGCATTGAAATACAAGAATCTTCAAGGTTTTATTGATTTTTGTATTTGTTTTGTTTTGCCTTTTATCCCACAATAAGTGACAGCGTTCTCAACTAAACATTGTGCAATGAGACGATGATGGGTCCATTTATTTATAATTGATTTAATTTTGATGTATCTAATCTTAAGGGAGTTTCTTTGTATTTTTTTAAAAATTTTTATAATGAAAAACATTTATAATTCCAAAGGTTGTATTAAAGTTTCGATCAGTTAATAACATGGTAATTGCCCCTGCCAGCACCGGAAGTGATAATAAAAGTGGGAATGCTGTCACTAGAACGGAATACAGTTTACTTTTTATAACAATTACTCTCATGTGGAAGACCCCTTTATTATTATTCAACTCATTTTGATTAGTAGCAAGTTAGTGTTTGTTTGGTAGGAATTTTGATAATTATTTTTTTGATCGATAAAGAAAAAGTGGATCTTACTTGTGAGAAAAGAATTTAAAAATGACGGATAAAATAATGAAATAATGGTAAAAAATTATTTTTAATTGATTTACAAACTATACCAAACAACTCTTAATTGCATCAACTGACATTGCAGAAACCGTGTTGGTGTCATGCATGAATATTAGTCAATTGGGTGAAAGTTTAGTGCCACCTACTCCAAGTTTCCATGAAGCTGGGTGTGCCATCGCTTTGTTTTTCACGTGATTTCTTTTAGTCACTTTACTTTATTCAGAAATGCCCTCAATACAACTTTAATTTATGACATTTAAAAAATAAAAAAAAATTCAATTTTTAGGCTGACTCTTGTTATTTTCTTGTCTTAATTGTATAGTCCTATTTCTTTATTGAGAATATTTTATTTTTTTCGTTTATTAATATATCCTTATTTAACTGGGGACCTTCTTCTCGGTCGAGCCTGTATTACAGAGCTTGCCTAGTGTGGTTTGTAGGCTATTGCATCAGTTCGAGGGTTTATCTAGTACGCACCCGTAAGGTAGCGGCTGCAGGTTCCCTCATCGTAAAAAAAAAAAGGACAAAAAAAATCAATAAAATCTTGAAGATTCTTGTATTTCAATGCAACATTTAAAAGTTGGCTCATGTCAAAAATAGATTGCTATGTTGTCTAGGTTGGTTATCCATATCATGTCTTGTGAGGATCAAGGGCTCAAGATTATTCCAAAAGGTTCAATGGTAGTTATGATTGACAAGGAGAATTAAATAACAATTTTAGTTAAATTCATAAATTATTACATATATAAACTAAGAAAATCATGCAATTTTAATATTCTTTCTTGGGGCATTTAAGAGTAGAATCCATGAGTGAGGACTTAGTGTAGTGAACCCAATTCAGGCGAATAGTGAGGTAAAACCAAGAGCAATAGGGACAAATTCATGCGAGTTTGACAGCTTGCGAAGGTGTGATAAAAAGGTCTTTGATAGAGAAGGATTTTTTGTGCCAAGGTTTGATTTTTTTATCTTTATTTTATTATTATTTTTTAATTTTTACGTCTTGTTTATCCTTTAACATTATCTAGAGTCCCCTGAATTGTATCAGGATTAGCACCTTTAAACGCATGATTATCCTTGCAATGATACTCTTTAACACATAGATAGTAAGAAAGACATGTAGTCTAATGTCACTTGTTGGGAATTTGGGTCCATTATGAGATTCACCTCTCCAATTCATCCACCAAGAAATAACTAGAAATAAAAAAATCAATAAATAAAAATAGAGAATGACAAAAACAAAAAAGAAGAAAAAAATCACAGGAATTTACGTAGAAAACTTGAAAATTCATCAAATATAAATTTTGGGAAACGTTACAATTACATTATATCGATCTCTCACACCTAGAACCTCCCAAGCATGCAAAAACAGTCCTACACAAATGCTACAAAATAATAACTTGTTCAAGAAATAGGAAGGAATATATAATTTGCTCTCTCCTATCGTGCCTCTTTTCCTTAGAATCGCTATGTAGATTTTATTTTTTATTTTTCCAAAATGTTTAGGAACTCTTTATATTAAACCTCATTTACATCTTTACTTTCAAGCAATTACTTAATGTAGTTGAAAATCAAATTTTTAGACAGTCAAAAAAGTTGATAAAATTTACGAATTCCATAAAATATGTGGATAAAATTAATTGACTTTCAAAATTTTAAATTGCACCAAACAAGTTAAACGTCTGACAAGGAGGAAAATTCCAATATACTATGAATGATATTATTATATCTTGGATCATTAGTGGGAGAACATGGCAACAAGCAGTCAACATCACAAGTGGTCCTAATTAAACAATGAAGCACGATTATTCTGTGCATGATGGCTAATTGATTGCAAAGGAGATTGGACATTAAAAAAAAAAAAAAAAAAGGCCAAGCCCTTATCTGAGAACTTAAACTTATCTCCTTGTTTTTTCTATAGACCTAAAATATTATCTCCTTTTTAATAGGAAACTATATTGGTCTTTTTGCATGTGTTCTTCTAAACTTTCATCACTAGTGCAATTAAGTCAAAACTTTTTTTAGAGATATATCAAAGTGACCAGCTGGACCTATAAATTTTTGGTGAATAATTCTTGGTGTTCATAATGTACCCATAGCACAGCTCATTTTTTGTTGGATTTGGAGGAGATGGGGGTGTTGGGGTGGGTGTATGAAGGAGAAGATGAATTGTGATTGAGTTTTGATTTTTTGCTTTGTTTTTTTGTTTTTTAAAATTTTAATTCAAAATTACAATTTTCCCCTTTTAAAATTGGTCAAAGTCAATTTATTGGGTCAACTAACAGTCAAACTAACAGAAATAATCCATTTGGACCTCAGATGCTAATTTTTGAAGGGTTTGGGACTATGAGTGGTACAAAGTAAAGGTTAAAGTAAAGTTTGCAAAAAGGTGAAAGGTTTGGTACCGGTGTTGCAATTATCCCTTAGAATAATATACTAACCCTCGTCTCACCATTCTAAGATGAAAAAATTCTAGTCTCCTTACGTTTCGCGACACACCCTATTCAGAGTATCACAAAGAGTCGAAGATACTTCAAATAATATAAATTCAACAAATATTTAAAATATACAAATAAATAATAAATAAAAACATATATTCAATGCCAACAAAACGAAATATTAAACATTATAAAATGTTCTTTATACTTTTAGAGATGTCCCAACAAATACATCCTTCGTTGAAATTTCTTCTTATGCATGGGCCCGGAGTATTTAATTGGGAACATAAGTGCAAGAAAAAGCTGGCATGTGGGACTATGACGTGATGTGAGCTTTCAAACGTGGAAAATGAGAGTGAGAATTGTCTTAGCCTTTTAAACAAAGCAAGAAAGAGTCCACTCAGTGAAAAGTCATTCAAATGCACCAAAAGTAGCAAAATTTCACGGGAAAAAAATGGGCATACACATGTTCCAATAACATGAGATATGAACCTGACCTTTAAAAACGTTGGTTGATAAGGAGAAATTAGGGCTCGAGATGAGAATTTAATCGGTCATAGAGGGTTCATGGGTTTTGATACGAACAAGGCATCGACAACTATAAACCTAGCAAAGTGCTTTCCTTGTTTTATTTTTCTTGTCGCGTCATATCACTCACTATAGGTCACCACAAATTTAACCTGGCAGTGGTGGAGGGAATGAGAAAGATAGATAATATTTTAACAATTTATTTAAGACTCGTTTGAATTTTTCATTTTTATTTTTTTAAAAATTGCAATTAGTTCTTCATACTCGTCATTTCACAATTTCGTATTAAGAAATTGAATAAAAATAGATGAAACGGATTATTTCCACAACAAAAGGTGAAAATATGGTTGAAAATGCAAAAATAAAAAATAAAGGTGAAATATTGGGGACGTTTTGCACATTGAACTTCATATGTAGAGACGTTTGTGCTAATAACCCCTTTATATAATTAAACTTCAAACATTGATCAAGTTCAATACACATCCCAATGTACTATTGTCACAGCTCCCCAGATGCACATTTCCCAATTAATATCATAGTTGTCACTGCGACCATATTAAAACAATATGCCAACCTTCGTTTCACCATTCTAGGAAAAAAAAGTTCTAGTATCTCTTTACACTTCCTTATGCACCCAATTCATAATATCACGGAGAGATCGAGTACACTTAATTTCATATTAAAATAACATAAATATAATAATTATTTAAAACATACAAATAGATAATCAATAGCTGTTCAACCACGAAACAAAATATTAAACATACTAAATGACCTTTATACTTTTAAACACTTGTTCCAACAAAGACACCCTTTTTTGAAATTTTTTCATCCTTATTCATTGGTGGTCCGGAGTATTTAATTGGATGCTCACAGAGTTTTCCAAACTTCAAACCTAAGTGCAAGAAAAGCTGGCGTATGGGACTCTGCCGTGTGATGTGAGCTTTCAAAGGTGGAAGTGAGAGTTAAAAGTTTCTTAGACTTTAACAAAGCAAGAAAGAATCCACTTAGTGAATCAAGAGTCATCTGAATGCACTAAAAGTGACAAAATATATTTCATTTTTAACAAAACAAAGACATAGATATGTTTCACGCGTAACATGAGATACAAACATGACCTTTAAAAATCTTGAGAAGGTAAGGCGAGGAAAAGATTCTAGTAGGTCACCACAGGTTCAAGGGCTTTGACAGGAAAAATGCGTCTGCAGCCAAAGACTTGACAAAATGCCTGTAAACACATGAGCAACAACATCATAATAGCAGCAAGAAATGTGAGAATCTGCCACGAACCATATATATATTTGTTCATGAATTTTCCACATTTAACCTTCCACATTCCACTGTAATACTTGTTAACATCTACGATCACTTGGTCTATGAAAGACACCTTCGTCAATCTAATAGACTTACTCATTCCATTCCAGAGGTCTGCCACCTCTTTATCGCTCTTCAAACTGTTTATAATAATCCCCCTTTCGCGAAGAAAACTCGCATCTTTTTCTGTGTCAATGATCCCATTCATTAATTCTGTGTAACGAGTCAGAACCATCGGCCTTGATGCTCGGCACGCTTCATATGCAACCATGTTTCTTAGAACAATCTCTGAATTCACATCTACACTAATGATAGGGAGATATAGTGTGGCTGTTTTTACGTCAAAATTAATGCTTTGGATGCCTTCATTAGTTGGCATAAAGCACACGCCGACTTCAAAGAGATCAATTACAGAAGGGATTTTAATTTCTTCTATCAATGGAGGTTTTTCTGTGTTACCATTTGAGTCAGAATCTTCATTTTCTTTCTTCTCCCCTTCATTATGTGAGGCACTGAATACTTGTTCCAACGGTTGTTTTAACATATATAAGACGGGAACCTTAGATATAATGGTCCAAGGCAACTTCACAAGCACTATTAAAATTTTTGAAAAGATTACGCTTTTGATCCATTGAACTGGTTCTTTTCCTAATTTTGAAAGAATATTCCATACCTCATTAACTAGCCGCCTAACGTAACTCGGTTCGCCTGTGAAAGAATCCTTCTCGCCTTCCTTTGATTCACCGTCTTCCTCAATTTCAGTTATATGATGATCATGAGATTGTTCCTCCGACTTTGGCACGATAACACGGTATGCAAAATCGAGTAAATGAGCAATTGATTCACCGTCGAGTTCGCCTGTAAAAGAATCCTTCTCGCCTTCCTTTGATTCACCGTCTTCCTCAATTTCAGTTCTATGATGATCATGAGATTGTTCCTCCAACTTTGGCACGATAACACGGTATGCAAAATCGAGTAAATGAGCACAATCCATGAGCTGTATTTTGGGGAATTCTTGCACCATCTTGAATGGAGAGAGATCTTTGCTGAGTCCAAGTAACATGGAAAGTAACCATTGATCTGCCAACTCTAATGATGGGAACTGAAATTCTAACAATTCCCTCAACACGAACAATGGAATTTGGTTCTCGACCTTTAGAATGTCTTTAAATATGGCGTTATTTGCTGCTTTATTTGCCGCTAATTCAATCAAATGTGACATTCTTGATGGAACGTTAGTTGGTACCTTGCCTTTTCCGACAGCATAGACTTGAAGAAACTCGAACAAGAATGATGCATCCACCAACATCATCCACGCTAAAGTTTCGCCGCTATAGTTTATCGGCTTCAGGTAGTAAGCTCGAATCTTGAACTCAAACTTGAGGTATTGATCAACAAGATATTCAAGTTTTTTGTTTGGGATTTCTCTCTGATTTCTTTGTGCAGCAGCAAGTTTGTATTTCTCCATGTTGTAAAGCTCAGGACGGAAACAGTGGTAAGGGCCTATGGCAACTTCTTGTGGGATGTAAGAATCCGGATCACTCAGCAATAGGGGTTTTGGAACATTGAAGATACTAGCTGGAATTTGTGTCTCTTCTTCAAGTTCTTCCTCTAGAGCTTGACGAATGTATGCAACCCATCTACCTTCGTCGATGTTGGAGCCAATTCCCAGGCCGGCGCTGGAATGAAAACTCGAGATTGTGTTCATATTAAGCTTAGAGAAAGACACGGTAATTTTCTTCTATGTACAGAAAATGCAATTGTGTTTTACAGCACGATGAAAATAAGGGACTGAAATGGCTATTAATGGACACATATAAATGAGGGGAGAGAGAGATATTCACTGTGATTCTTAATGTGTGGACTTGAATCTCCAATCTTGTCTACTTTTAAGGAGCCAATCAGTGCTATGTGATTCACATTCGTACCAATATTATAAATAAAAAAATAATGGCATGTTATTAAAGGAACTCATGACGACTTGTTTAGTAGACTGTATAATATAATAGAACATGAACAAACAAAAAAAGAGAAAAGAATAAAAAAAAAAAAGAAGGGGAAATGAGTTGGAATAATCACCCCTCAATGTCATTTTGTCTAAATAGCCTTTGACCAAATTCTTTAAAAAATAGGAAAACTTAATTATTTTAAAGTATCAAAAGCATATTTTACCCTTCCCTTCCATAACCAAATAAATGAATGATTTTTGGCATTTTCTCCTTCATAGACCTTTCTTACCCAAATTTACAAATGCAAAATTAAATATTCTTCTCCTTCAAATTCCCAAATACTCATTCAAGTCAAAAAAAATATTTTCTCCTTCTTCTTTTGAGGTCAAAGATTGTGCAGAGCTTTAAAGTGGCGATGGGTTTGAGGCTATTAGGCTGAACAAAGTAAGTATTTATGCTCTTGAAATTGGCAGTTGCAACAATGGTGGTGCGCGACAACGGTGGGTATGAAGGATCTGCATGCCGGAAACAATTATTATTATTATTTTTTTTGTTGATGATAGACAATTTTTTTAGATTATGTAATTGGTAATTGTTTTATTTTCAAACTCTTATTGTAGTTTAGTTGGTGAAAGCTTACATTTATACATAGGAAGTCCGAAGTTCGAATTCTTTTGCACCAATTAATGGAGCAACATTTTTATTTTTAAAATATTTACCAAAATTAACTCTATAAGGAATGAATTCGAACCTCAGACCTTTAGTTAAAATACTAGAAGCTTAACCACTATGGCAATGGTTAAATGTTGATTTTAAATTTAATAAAATGACATATTTTGGTTTGAATCTGTAACGACATTCAAATCGTTTTAGTACAAATTTGACGAGTTTGAAATCATTTCAATACAAATCGCAATTACAACGATATAGATATCTTTTTTTCATAGAAAACGATAATTATATCATTCTGGCTAATAATAACGATTCGACCGTCCACGACAATCAATCATGCCTTCAACATACGTAGGATGATCAAAAGAGGTCATAAACCGGGCTTAAAAAGAACGAATGAAATTGCTTTTTGTTGAAATAGTTCGAAGGTAGTATACGATCATGGGACAAGCAAATGTTCCCATAATTTCTTTTGAGTGAGATCGAACCCATTTGATTACATATTTTGATCATTCTACATATGGAAAATGCATGTTTGGTAGTCGTGAACGGTCGAATCATTGTTTTTAGCAAAATCGATATAATTGTCGTTTTACTTTAACTGAAACGATATATATGTAGTTTTAGTTATGATTTAAACTAAAATAATATCAACGTCGTCAAACTTATACTAAAACGATAATGATATCATTATGCATTAAAATCACAAGTAAAGTAATGACATTCATATCGTTTTAGTATAAATTTGATGAGTTGGAAATCAGTTCAATACAAATCACAATTACATCGATGTAGATATTGTTTCTTTTCATATAAAATGATAAAGGTATCGTTCTGGTTAAAACAACGATTCGACCATCCACGGGCACCCGTCGTGCCTTCAACATACGTGGAACAATCAAAAGAGGTCATCAAGTGGGTTGATACCACTCGAATGACTTAGAAAGGATGAACGAAGATACTTTCTGCAAGAATAATTCGAAGGTGGTATGCAATCATGGGAACATTTGGTTTTTTTCGAATGAGATTGAACCCACTTGATTGCCTATTTTGATCATCTTATATATGTCAGATGCATGTTTGGTGGTCGTGAACAGTCGAATTATTGTTTTTGGCAAAAACGATATAATTGTCATTTTACTTTAACTGAAATGATATATATGTAGTTTTAGTTATGATTTAAACTAAAAAGATATCAACGTCTTCGAACTTGTACTGAAACAATAATGATATCGTTATGTATCAAAATCACAAGTAAAGTAACGATATTCATATCGTTTTAGTACAAATTTAACAAATTTGAAATCGTTTCAGTACAATTCACAATTATATCGATATAGATATCGTTTCTTTTCATATAAAACGATAATGGTATCGTTTTGGCTAAAAACAACGATTCGACTGTCCACAGGCACCCATCGCGCCTTTAACATAAGTGGGACGATCAAAAGAGGTCATCAAGTGGGTTGATACCACTCAAATGGTTTAGAAAGAGTGAATGGAGATACTTTCTGTTGGAATTGTTCGAAGGTGGTATGCAATCATGGGAATACAAATGTTCTCATAGTTTATTTCGAATGAGATCAAATCCACTTGATTGTCTATTTTGATCATCTTACATATTTCAGATGCATGTCTAGTGGTTGTAGATAGTCAAATCGTTATTTTTAACAGAAACGATATAATTATCGTTTTTGCTTTAACTAAAACGATATATATGTAGTTTTAGTTATGATTTAAACTAAAATGATATCAACGTCGTCGAAGTTGTGCCAAAATGATAATGATATCGTTATGTATCAAAATCACAAGTAAAGTAACGATATTCATATCGTTTTAGTACAAATTTGACGAATTTGAAATTGTTTGAATTCAAATTACAATTACAGAGATATAGATATCATTTCTTTTCATATAAAATGATAATGGTATCATTTTGGCTAAAGCCAATTATTCAACCATCCACGATCACTTGTCGTACCTTCAACATACGTGAAACGATCAAAAGAGGTCATCAAGTGAGTTGATACAACTAGAATAACTTAGAAAGAGCAAATGAAGATATTTTTCCCTGGAATAGTTCAAAGGTCTTATATAATCATGGAAGCACAAATGTTCCCATAGTCTCTTTCGAGTGAGATCGAATCCACTTGATTACTTAGTTCGATCATTTTACATATGTCTGGTGGTCGTGGACTATCGAATCACCGTTTTTAGACATAACGATATGAATATCGTTTTATTTTCGAAGAAACGATATATAGGTCGTTTTAGTTCTTATTTGAGCTGCAACGAGTTTGAATTCGTCAAATTTATAATGAAACGATATGGATATCATTATGTACCAAATCACGACATAACATAATGTCATTCGTATCGTTTCACTACAAATTTGATAAGTTCAAAATCGTTATAGTTCAGATAATAACTATAACGACATTGGTATCATTTCTTTTCACTTGCAACAACAATTATATCATTATGCTTAAAAATGATGATTCGATCATCCATGGTCACCTGCCATACGTTAATCGTACATATGACGATAAAAATAGGCCATCAAGCAAGTTTAATCTCACTCAAACAAAGCTACAAAATATTTGCGATTCCATAATTGTCTTTCGCATTTGAATTGTTTCAATAGAAACATGTATCTTCTTTGGCTCTTTCTAAAAATTGTACTGAAATGACATGGATGTTGTTTACTTATTCCATGGCATGCGCCTAAGCCTCTTATGTAGTTAAGTAGTGTGTATTTTATATCGAAACGACATACACATCGTTGTTGTGTTTCAAGAACGATTTCAATGTCATTACGTAAATCAATTAAGTAGTGTTTTTATAATACCGAAACGATATAGATGTCGTTTTGTATTTTAGGAACGATTTCAATTTCGTTATAAGGGCATTTTAGTCCTTTACAAATTGAATTTTCCATGTTTAATAACTTTAGGCCTTTTAAACAAAAACCTTAGATGGTGGTCTTCTTAAACTAATGTTTACTTTGACTTGCCTTTTTAACTCAATCCCAAAAAAAAAAAATGTTTAAGTTTTTTAACAATTGACACATTGAATAAAAAATAGAAAAAAAAATTTCCTATTAGAATACTTTTTGTTCGAAATAAAATGTGTCCCCAAATAAATAATAAATTATCAGATATGATCACGCTAAATAAGGGTATTTTCTTTTAATTAAAATGTCCTCTACGCAATCTATGCAAATTTGACGAGGAATACTAAAATGTTTATATTGATCGAAAGTTCATAACTTCGCCTATTTTAATAAGAATGTTTAGATTATTCAAAACTCATTCAAAAATAAAGATGGAGAAATTGTAACACTTTTGAAGAGCGAAAGGTATATTTGACAAGAAAATTATAAAACAAACATTATTTTGGGTATTAAATTGTCACCATAACTTTCTTTTATTCCAATGTATTTTATCTCCCTAAAAATTTTCTGAGAACTAGAACTGGAAATGACGCAGAAGAGTATAATTTTATGGTGTTGAATGGTGAAAAAATGAGCTTAGTTATAACCTTAGCCCCCATAATGGTTAGTAAATTTGTTAAATAACTCTGTATTATAATGACAATAACCATTGGAGTTTCAGAAAGCTAAAAAGTCAGTTGGAGAAAGCTAAAAATTAGCAAAGCGTGGACACTCCTAAGGGGCCAATTTTGCTCCATTCGGTTTGACATTTGTGTATGCAGGCCGCGCCTGCACATAAGTTCAAAACTTGATGTACAATTTTGGTCATTTTGTAATCCCTGCACGCGCACGTGGCGAGAGCCTTTATACTACACATGATTATACCCTTCCAAAATGTAACCACATATAAAGTTGTCCTTACTTTCATCAACTTCCTACGTAGGATAAACTTAAATATAGTTTTCCCTCCAACATAAACCATTTTCCAATTGTTTACTTTGAACTCCAATTTCTCATTTACCTGTTTATCATTTTTGGCAAGTAAATATATGATTTCGATGTTCTCACAAAGGATATCACAGATCAACTTTCATATTCCAAATAGAACCAAAGGGTCCCACCTAAACTTGTGCCAAAATTAAGCTACAAAGCATTTTTCCAACAACTCCCCATTTCAATGAAAATTGAAAGCGACATAGAAATGTGTGAAATAAACACTTGGTGATATAATTCTACGGTTGAAACCTACATAAGACAGGTGGGTATTACCCTTTGAACCTTTCATTGTGAAAGCATATTTACATTACTAGCTAACTAGCTAACGTCTTGTCTTTGAATTATTCTGCTTTTTATGTAAGTGATGATATACTCCTTTATCATTATTATGTTCGTTTTTTACCACGAGCATATACCTGGTTCTGCGAGAGTTTATAAGAATTGAGCCCCAGAAAATTATCTTAGAAGAGGCCCAACTTCTCTATCATATAGATGATTTCTTGTTGCAAGTAACCTACATTACTTCCCACAATTTTCGATGCACAGGAATTGTTGACCTTGAAAATTGGTCCTTCCACGTGGCCAACCAAGAGCTACTCCACGTATTCCTCCCTGCGCAAATCAGGGAATGGTCAGACGCACACGACCGGGACCAGCGAGGGTGGCGGCGGCCGTATACACTCCGACGGTCAAATCAGGTTTAAGTGGTCGGAATAGTACCCAGGGGCTGTGCAAATCAATGATAAGGGGGAGGAGAAATATATAAGCTTGCTATGGAGTGCTATGTAGTAAGAGTTTCATTACCTTTGCCTCTTGCCAAACCTTGCGTATTTATAGGTGGTATGAGCCGTTGGATGTGGGACGCGTGTATACATCTGACGGTATGAGGCGTCCGCTCATAGGCGTCAATCAGCCGCATCTGTAGAGTGGGCAGACAACTTGTTTCTTCTGAGTTGAATTGGCATAAAGTTGATAAATCACATCAACTAGTCTCATGGAGACGTCAAATCGATTTAAACCTTAGGTGTAGGAAGGATCTTGGCACAAATCTCTTTCTGAAATTGGCAGCGGATCTTCTAACCGGGGTCTACTTGGCCTCGGCCTCGGGGGCGAGGTGCTTCAATCAGGTCAGTACTACTAGGTTACAGGCATTGCTGATATCACTTCGGAAACACTTCGGACGGATCTTTATCAGGTCGGAATATATGGTAGTGCGTGTTCCGAGGCGTATCAGATTGGAGCGTAACAGTGGTCCCCCAAGTCCAGGTATGAATATTTATATCATGGGTGGACTTGCTTTCCTGACCAGACCACGACTCGTGGGAGTTTGGGGGTTGATCTTTTGCAGTAATCTAGGTTATGATCCTAGGCAGATGTGCCAAAGTTTCGTTACTGTGTAAGGGAAAAAATGCAGCGTCCGAGGTGGTAACCTACATGGGACTTTGCATCAGGTGCATCCAAACTTTGTAAAGTCGAGTGAAGAGCTCATCTCCCACCGGTGTGCTGACCCACACGGTCGACGCGTTGGGAGATGGCTAAAATTTTGTAAAGCATGGGAGGTAACACATCATCTGAGGTGATGACACACAGGGGGCTTCGCCTCAGGTGCGTCTAAACTTTGTAAAGTTGAGTGAGGAGCTCATCTGTCATCGGTGCGCTGACCCGCTGGGCCGACGCGTTGGGAGATGACTAAAACTTTGTAAAGTATGGGAGGTAACGAAGCATCCGAGGCGATGACCCGCAGGGGGCTTCACGTCAGGTGTGTCCAAACTTTGTAAAGTTGAGTAAGGAGCTCATCTACCACCGGTGCGCTGACCCATAGGGCCGACGCGTTGGGAGATGGCTAAAACTTTGTAAAGCATGGGAGGTAACGCAGCATCCTAGGCGATGACACACAGGGGGCTTTGCGTCAGGTGCGTCCAAGCTTTGTAAAGTTGAGTGAGGAGCTCATCTGCCACCGGTGCGCTGACCCACTGGGTCGACGCGTTGGGAGAGGGTTAAAACTTTGTAAAGCATGGGAGGTAACGAAGCATCCGAGGTGATGACCCATAGGGGGCTTCGCATCAGGTGCGTCCAAGCTTTGTAAAGTTGAGTGAGGAGCTCGATCCGAGGCGATTCAAACGTCAAATGATTTGACAACTGTTGCGTGTTTCCAAGGTGACAGTTGGGTGCCATGCCCATTCTTCTAAAAGGCTGCTGCGGCTACTCATTATTATTGACTGCTGGTTGTAATCGAGGTGACGCGTTTTGAGCAAGCGTGAATGTCACAGCGACATCTTGGACGTAGATCAAATCTGACATTTCATTTCAACGGCCTAGATTGAAGATGCGATGAACGGCTTAGATTGATCGCATTTGAATCCGACGGTGAAGATCAGATTCGTCTTTCTATAAAAGGAGGACTCTGAGGTTTTCTCAGGCTTTCTACCCTTGCGAAACAAACAATATATTTTGCTCTCGAGTCATTGGCGATTTTCGGCGTTTTCTAAGCATTTTCGACGAGAAAATTGAAATTTCGGCTACCTTACACCATTTCTGGCTAGGAAAACCTTCAAATTCGTAAGTTTCAGTACCTTTTAGGGCTTTTAAATTTTGAACGAATGGCCTCGGAGGGGAGTTCTGGTTCAGGGAGAGGGTTAGAACTAGTGAGGATGGACGAGCCCACTGTGGCGACCTCCTCAGAAATAGCCGAGGCAATAATAGGGGAAAAATATATGGAAGCGACCGGATAGCCCAGCAGAT